CACTCTGGTGAGTTCAGAGGGATCATGTCTCTTTAAGATGTAAAACCTGTTTTCTTTCTCTTACATGGCACATTGTCAGAGGGCACGCTGCGTAACCCCAAGTTATTAAGTTCAGGAGAAGGTCTTTTATGAAATTATGCAATCCCCACTTGACAAGGCAAGTCCAGGGCTTTCCTCAGTCTCTTTATTGTCCAACAATTTTCCACTTGAACAGACAACCTCAAGTGTGAAGTGAGAGAGTAAAGAGAGGGATTTGATATCCAAGGGAAACGCGCATGAATTCGCCAGAGGTTGATAGACAGGGCAGGGGCAGCCATGCTATTTACCCTTAGATATTTCCATGGGTCAAGGCTGTTACAGGGCCACATTCTCCCTCTTCTTGATCTTGTCAGGATAGACTGTCAGGCTGATGAAGAGATAGGCTGCAGATAGATGATGGTGTTGCACGAACACTGGGGCTGCAGTGAGCAGATACGGTAGCGAGACAGCAAAGTGACTTTGGCAGTTTGCTGCTGCTACTGATCAGCTTTGCATTATCGTGAGTTATTTAGGCTCTTCTGACCCCTGAGTCAACCAAAAACCTGATGACCATAAAAGATGTGGAATGAGAGAAGAAAGAAAACACTTGGTAGAAAACTTGATATCAAAGGCAGAAAGACGAGTTTGGATTCAAGTACACAAGCACAGTCACACAACTCTCCCATTTTTCATCTCTCTGCAGAATAATCGGGTTGCCCTTTGGCATCGATGGGATGTTTTGTGGTATTTGGATGGACACCAGGCAGTTTTCTTTTTTAATCCCATCACGCATTTCTCTGTTCTTTCCTCTGTGCTCACAGGAAGGTCTCTTCTGCTCTCATGATGTAAGGACTATTATACTCCAGTGCCACCTCCCTTCAGGGATAAGATTTTACGATTGCAACCTGACACCGTTTCTGTGTCCTATAAGCCACAGAGCTGTAACTCACTTCAAAGGCAGGAGGCATCAAATCACAGTGCACCCATAAATTAACCTGTCAGGACTTGGCCAATGAGAAGGCAGCATTAAATCTCTGCTGTCACGCTGGCGGCCAATGGAAAGACGATGGCTGTAAATCTGTCAGGGCCGCTCTGTTAACGGTGTTGTGGTGTGGTTGGGGAATCCACGGGGAGGGAGGGGAGAAAGTGAGAAAGAGTAGATGACAGAGGGAGGAGGGAACAAACTGATGGTTTAGAGGTATGCCACAGAAAATGCTTTCCTTTACATTCTTTAGCCTCGACAAAAAATACACATGCTGTAGTAAAACAGAGGAAGGCACGCAGAGGATTTTTTTTTTTTTTTGTCATGCAAAACAAGACTAAACATGAAATGAAAGAAAACATGTTTCCCTGATGGATGCAGCGGCAGCGAAATAACCCCAGCAGAAACACTCATAAAGGTTTACGGCCAGCATGGCTGTGTCTGATGTTCACTGTCTACGGTGAAAATGACTGATTGCCCTTCTTTAGTGCTCTTTTGCATCATTGCCACACCAAACCTTAGTGTTGACTGTTTGATACCAGCAGTAACCCCTGACTGTCGTGACACAGCACCATCAGTAGCACGGCCTTAGGATTACATCCTGCCTGTGAGGGTCTGGAGGAGGGTGAACCAGGGTCCAGTTGAGCCCATCCTCTAACCAGATGTGCCCCCAGTTGTGCACCTTCAGGGGATAATGGAATTGACCCTTCAGCACAGCAAAAACCTCAACAACTGCACTTGAGGATTTTGTTTTGCCACGGAGCCACGAAGAAACACAACAGGATCCTGCTGCATCGAACCGTTGCCAGCGAGGGGTATTTTCACATCCAGAGAGCTTCCACTATCACTCTTCTAAAGCATGCTTTCAGTAAAGAGTAATGCACTGCCCTACCTCGAGAGAACTGTGGGGAAAACAGCAGAGGGAAAACACATCAGGTAGAATATTTCCTCGATTAACAATGCCCTTGGTGGTGTACTTTCATTATCCTATCAAAGTTGAACATTTTCATGTAATAAATCTTACAGATCTCATAAAATAACTGGTCCTGCAAAGCAATGCTATTCCATCCCAAAGAAAAAAAACACAAAAAAAAAACGCTCCCTTAACAAATCCCACAATTTTTTCACCAACTTGTAACGACACCCAATAAACCAGACACATTTGTGGTGACGTTTTTATTTTGCATCAACAAAAAAATTAAACATTAGCATCACAATTTACAGTCATCTTATGTCATTACTATGAAAACTTTTTTTTCTTTCGTCAGAAACATAAATAGCAGGATGAGTTATGGCAAAGGCAGGCAGGAGTGCAGCGGTGGAGGTGTTGTTTTTGGCCGGCTTTCCTTGGAGTGGCCATGATTCTCTGTTCTATGGGAATCCATAAACAGACCCAGAGAGGGCAACTGGGGCCATAAACCACGTCAGGCTGCCACAACGCTGCTGAGGCAAAGGGAGCAGGCCTGGACCCGTACCTCCTCTTCTCTGCACACTCACACGACCACATGCTCTTCGAACAGTCTTCAATGACTTATTTCAGAAAAAGCTGTGTTTACCGTGATTCTGTAGATTTGATGGTAATTTGGTATATGTGGAAAAATTAAAATTAACATCAAAAAAATCAGGAATAGACTCATTTCCTTTCAAGTTAGATTGCTATTTTACATATTGCATTAAAATGATGTTAGTTATCTTAGTGCACGGAAATGTGAGAGCAGCAGAGGTAAAATAGCTTGTTAATTTTAATACAGTGGGTCATTAAACATCATGTGGGTCTTGCCCTTTGCCCCGCTCAGACAATGTAATGGCACTTCCTCTAATGCGTTTACTGTCCTGGATCCAGCATGCTGTCATTGTTTTCCACTGTGTTGTTTCTGTTTAGCAGGACAAGCCATTGGATGGGTGCTCGGGCCCATTGACTATGACATAAAGACTCTGTAAGCTTACAGATGATGATAATTTATTGGCTCTAATTCTCAAAGTCCTCTCACACACACACGCATACACAAAAGAAAGAGAGCGACTCTTTCACTGTATGCATCGATCAATTACGAGGCTCTAGCCCACACGTCTCTGACAATTTTACTGCATGTTATGTACAGCATGTCAAGCCATGGCGTTTCAAACTGTTATACTCATTCCTGTATAATTAATATAAATTACCTCGCTGGTTTTTATGATGGTGCAGCTGTAATTAGTGGATGAAAGCAAGTCACTGAGCTGCCGATGGTGCTGCAGGGCTATCTAGATGAAAAGTGAGGGTCTGGACAGGCACCTTGGGTGGGATCTGTTTTAACCCTCTCTCTTCCCCGCAGTGCCCTCGCTGGGATCTCATCTAATTACATTTACTGCTGTCTACTTCTGCTAACCTCGTCCTCTTTAACCTTCATCCCCCCCTTTCACTGAAACCACACACTGAGACATAAGCTGTCCTCATTATACCAGCAAACTGGCGCGATAACAGTAAACTGGTGCAATAATGGAGTCCATTTATTATTACCATTCTCTTTCGTACTGCTCTTTGTGCAGCAAAACACTTAGTCAGTAGCATCAAGACAGCCTCCATTCATGCTATCTCTGCAGCCATAAAGAGCCGCAGATTCAAGGACTGAAACAAACTGGAGTTAAGCCAAGACAGTAGGTCCACAGGTCAGAGCCAATAACAGTTTTATTGACTACACTACTCTGTGTTAGGTGAAAACATCAACCCACATGCATCCGGGCGCAAACACATACACACTTAGTCTTGTATCAACCGCTGTCCCCCAACATAAAGCATACAGAAAGTGTTTTAGGTGTTGTTTTCTTTGATTCAGCTAACTAAAAGAAATACATGTCCCTTCAAAGAGAAATACTCGTTTTCCTTATGCACACAAAAGTGGTTAAAATGGAAGTGTATCAGGACTGTATTTCACACTTTCAGGGCCATTTTCTTACTGGAGTTAACTAATTATTTTCCAGGGGAAGAGGTGTAAAAATTTCCCACAGGGAAAATAAAGGGTGAGATGCTTTAATTTACCGTCTGCCTTCCAACATTACAACTAATGCGTGTGATCCTTCCAACAAACTCCTCCAGGCCACGATAAGACATCTCTACATCACTTTATATAACTTCACTTAATGTTTCTCCCTTTGATGCTTGAGCCAAACTATTTCGATATAGATAACAAATCCTGTTTGGAAAAGAATGGCATACGTCTTACACATGACAGGTTACAAACAGCAACTTAATGACTTTCTACTCAATTCAACAGACATGTTACAGCACGCAAAGAAGTGTAGGATCATGTGTATGATTGTAAGGGCAAAGCAAGAGGAGACATGACATTGTAACAAGACCTGCCACCCAATGTGGTTGGAATTAGACATGGCTGCTTGTGTTTGTTGCACAGGCAACACAAATCTCATGCTGGCAAAGAATATCTTCAAGTGATCAGAATGGGAACATATGGGGATACCTCGCTGCAAGAATGCAGATAGATCATTTCTACTCCTGTAATATGCATCAGGTACCAACATGATGTAGTGCCTATTCTCACACCCATTCCTCTCTGGAGGGTATCCTTCATTTGCATTCAAATGAGTGTATGAGGTTAGTGTGTGAAGGTGGGGGTGCATACATGGAGGCACACAATTCATGATGCACACTGTGGCTCTCTTTAGTGAAGAAATGAATCAAGTGTGTCTCCATAAAACTTATCTTCATGTCACAGTACACAGTACCATGCAAGCTCCAGATCATAGCTGCATGAATGAGCCTCCTCCCCGCTCTTGTTTCTACTACAGTATTTATGTTCCTCAGCCTTGCACTTTGCTGCCACCGCCAGGAGATGGAGCCCTTGCATTTGTGTAGATGTCTCCTGCTGTGGTCTCAAAGAACAAAGAGTGCCAAACGTATCAACTCTGACATTAGGAAACATTAACTCTTAAAATCCAGTTAAACGTCGGTTAACAAAACAACACGGTACGTCGTGTTAGAAATATCACAGCTGTTCACACGTCAGTCACAAGAAATGTTTATTAAATGTATTTGATGATGGAAAACCCCCAGATAAAAATAATGTAAAGCACACCCCTGTGATCAGTGGTATGACTACAGTACATGTTGTTCATTTTTTATTCACAATATCCATGTAAAATAAAGAACACAAAGAGTGGCTCTATGCTTTCTACAGTAATCTATGGGTGACAGGATCGTGAGCTGAAGGATACAATTCTTGTGTAGGAGACACATGGAATGTTATCGCAGGCTATGATGATGCTTGTCAGCGTTTTACATCTGTAGATAGATACTTTACCCGAATAAACAGTCAGATTCCTTGATGAAAAAATAACAAACCAACAAAACAGGACAGGCCAGCCGTTAATGGAATGTACACCGTATCGTATCCTTGTGTTGATTATGTCATACAATGCAAGGCTGTGCAAACACAGAAAAACGACAGAGGAAAAAAAGGAAAATGAATCTTTGTCAAGCAGTAGTCCTCGGAGTGTGACTGGATCTGTCACTGGCGCTCCTCACAGCTTTGATTGAAGGAGTGGAAATCAGAGGAGAAGAAGTATGAGGATCAGTGCCATTAAGTTTGGGCTGTACAGCGGCTCACTGGTAGACTTTTGCAGGTTCTATCGTAGAAGTGACCACTTGATCTGTTCTTTGGCAGACTGAAGCACCTGTGGAGGAAAAATTGTTTTGTTTAATTAATCTTTAACTGCACTGGCCTGTAAAAGAATGGCTACAGTATGAGATAAACCTTAAGGGGAAAAACTATCAAACAGAACAAAATGAAAACAAGTGGCATCATTGCAGAGATTAGAAGTATCAATGCTTAAAAAAAAACAAAGTTACACATTATTGCCAAAATACTGAACAAAAAAAGATGAACAAGTGATAAATGATGAGAAATATGCAAGACCTAATTAATCATCTTAATTCATTGAATGAAAGCTGAATCATAACCATAAAGCATGAGGACTGGGCACAGCCATTAATCACGGCCAGAGGAGGGATGGCGGTAGCCAGTCTCAGGCCTCTTAAATGACAACATTAATCAAGAAGAGCTCACACACACAGACAGGCTCCTGTAAGAGCTAAAAGACAGGAACCACCGTTGGCTACATACCATCTCACCACAGAATAATTAGCAATCATGTACACTGTCGTGCATACAAGACAATGCAAAATATGAGAACCCAGAGGCAAGTGACAAACTATGAGTCGAGGAGAACGACACTACAGCAATGCCCTTGTATTTGCAGGTTCTGAAGTAATGAGTTTGAACAGTCAATAAACTAATGGATCTTTTAAACTTTACAGCAGAGAGAAGATCAAGGTAGGAGTGTTTTTCTTACCTGGGTGACTGTCTGCTCTGTCAAAGGCACATCATCACCCTACAAGAACAACAATATTATATTTACAGCTGACATAACCAACATCAAACTGTGGAATCTTTTTGAGAAGATAGAATCTTACTCTAAGAGCTACACGGTGCACAACTTGCTGTGGGTCACTCTCTAAGATCACCCTGCAGGAGATGCATAGAGACAGACCAACAATTATTAATCATGGAAAAGGGCAGCAGTAAAACTCTAGCCTTTTTAACAAAAGACAACTCAGCATTGGCAGATTTAAGCCGCTCAGTTACTTACCCTCCATCTACGATTTCATCCACAGCTAAGAAGAGCCCCTCCATATTCTCCAGCAAAGCCCTCCTCTCGACATTTTTTCTGCAGAGTTAAAAAGACATACATGTGAAGCTTAACTTTGTAAGACATCTGAAGACGTCTGGTCGAAGTCTTGTGAAAAACGGCCACCAGAACTCACCTCAACATCTGACTCAGCGAATCGAAGAGGCAGTTTAGCACAGCCATTAGCATAAGCTGTAGAAAACAAAACAACACATTAGAATCTGTCCATGTCTAATGAACCCACTGTATTGTTCTATAATTTGGGGGTGGGCAAAATCACTCAAAACATTACGTTATCTTTCTTCATGGAATTACATTTACAATTTTCTTTTTCAGACCACAAGGCACACACTTCCTTTCAATTTCTTTCATGTTTTACCCTTGTCAGATCTTTGCAGTCTCTAAAGCACTTTTAATTAATAAATAAAATATCTAATAATAATGCCCAATTTATTAAGATATAGAATTACTATCAAGTGAAATTCAGAATGACAAGTGCAAAGTTTCTTTTTGATGTGAGCATATATTTCAAACGGAGTTGTTGTGTACATAAGTACAATCACACAACAGAGAAAGGAAGTCTGCTAAAGTGTAAATTATTAGTACTTAATAGTCTAGTGTACAGCAGGCTCATAAGTTTAACACCTGGTTGCAGTGCAAGAAATGTACAAAAGTTAACTCTTTATAAGAAACACGGATAAAACTGTGACTTTAAGTTTCTTTGTAGTAGTTTGGAATATTATATTTGAGGAAAATACCAATGCTCAAACTGTACTGTTTGATCTCCTATAATTCCAACCATTACACAAGTTCTAATGAGAGGAGACTAATAGCATTTTCTGCAGATAAATGTTTGTCTGATTTTGCTCATCACTGCATACTTTAATTTCAACTCTACTTAATCATGTTCTTCAAACAAACAAAAAAAAAGAAAATTAAGTTTACCTCATTTTCATGTGAACTTCCAATCACATAAAAGAAGAGGTCGATGTTGCTCTTGTAGACAACAGTGAGGCCCTCAAGTAATGCTATCTCACCTAAGGGGACACAGAAAACAGGTTGTTAGACGTGTAGTGAGAAAAAGTGACTGTTGTTAAATATGATAAACATTACTTACTGTCCGTCCTGTGTGTTTTGTTGAATATGTTCTTCTCAAACGCCTTCTGCTCCTTCACTGTCGGGTATGTGTCGTCATAATACTGTAGATAGATTTCAATGACATGTTATTTTTGATATCCAAATGCATAACCCACATCAGACAATATTTAGTTTAAGTTCAATCAAAAGGATGATACTCTACATACATTTTTTTTTTTAATATATATTTTTCTTTTTAATTTTTGTCTTATTGCCAACAAACAGTACGTAGGTCAATCTTTCAATAATTTCTAACTTCCCAGACGATCTACAGACCTCGACCAGAAGCTGATTTGTTCTTACTGAAGCTGAAATTCTATGAGAAACGGGTCATAAAGTATGGCTTTATTATTTTAAAGGGTTGAGCATTTCTAATTACACTAGTGCATTGTTTTAATAAATTATATTAAATTAGGAATTAATGGTGCATTTTTTGGGAACTATTTTTAGCTGTGGATTTGGTGCACTAGTGAGAAGTACAGCACAGTATTAGGACGATGTGTATAGGTGTATATTCACTCAAAATAAACAACAAAGCCCACATTTATGGTAATAAAGGAATATGTTGCACTGTGCTTTGATGTATGAGACTTTACCACAATAATTGTAAGTAGCATCAAGTCACTGTAATTCATTGTTGTTTTATACTTTTAATAGATTTACTGTCACTTAAAAATATATATTTGCTGATTAAGTGTTTAAGGTAAAGCTGTAAATCTTGGACCAACAGGTTCAGCAAGAAAATGTTTCACCAGTAAGTGTAATTACACAGTATAATTGCCAGAAAATATACCTTGGCATAAAGCCTGTCTCCATCGTTGTCCAGAATAAGAACTGCTTTGACGGTGTACAAGGATGGTTCCTGTGAAGGTAGCAGACATTGAGCAATGACTTTAATCTACACACATATGTTATGATTCACGAAAAAAGTTATTGACCGTATGTTCTGATCAAATTGATAAACAATACGGCAAAAACAAACTCTGACGGGGCGATGGTGGAGGAGCAAACGTGGAGTGAATTTAACAAAAGCAATGCGACCAGAGTCCGAAAACTAATATATAAGTATATATGGTTAATCGTCATGGGAAGTCATGGCACTTCCACATCACCAGCATATACGAAGCAGACTTCGGGAAGGCTAGCTAGTTAGCCAACAGAGCTAACCCGTTTACGTTTGTTAGCTTTATGTCAAGTTACCTCGACAGCTCGCTAAATGACCATATTTCGAGAAGCATATCTCAAGAAGGGAAGCAGTTACAAGCAAAAGCGTGAATAATAACATGCGCTAACATTACCAGTATGGGAGAATCCATCTTCTTTCTTGTTAGCACACTAGCTACAGAGCTAGCAGCAGTGCACGTAATACGTCCAGGAAATGAGGCTCCCTCCTATTGGCTGACGTGGTGCGTGACGTAGTTACGTACAGGGCAAAGATCAGTTCACTGCACTGCCAGTAACCGGGACGGGAAAAATTATTTTAAATAGAAGGTCAAATTATGTGGTTACGGTTATACACTTTTGGGAAAGTAGCAACTTTGTAATGGTCCTCAGGTAAAGTCAAAAATGTCCTCCACCAATCTTATGTATGTAATTCTATGCTGCCTCCTGTGACTGCATCCCAATATTTTAGTAACTTTTAATTCCTTTAGTCATACATCTGAAGTTCATCTTTTCCAAGCTGTAATTCCCTGTCAGTGATGCCTTTAGGGACCTTTTTTTTTTGTAATGTGTATACATAGGCACACCAAGAGGTTTATTTTAGAGTTCTAATTTCTACAATGAATGAGGCAGTTAAAACTAATGGCACTTTATGAGTTCACTGGCTTAAAGTGGTTGCCGTTTTTTTTCAAAGACTGTATGGTAACCAGAAATCTCTCGTTTTACAAGGCATTTTAGCTTGCTCGTACTCATCAGCATCTTTTTTCAGGATCCTCCTACATTTAACCAACCCCAATTATCTTAGTTCCCACTTCTGGGAAACATTTGGAAACCCAGGCTGATGGGGATTTCCCTCTATCTCACTCCATATATTACATCATTGTTTGGTCTTACTGTAGGATATTTTTGGGCTTGAGTTTCAAATATTATCGGAAAGCAAATAGCGTACAGCTTTTGTGTGACTGAAGAACGTGTACAGTAAAGGGATACAAACTATTTTGATGTGCATTCACAACAGGACTGTGGGAAACCATGAAATTTTGCAATACTGCACTATGTTTACACAATTCAGCCGCTAAGATTTCAAAATTGCCTCAACTAGAGAGGAAACATGCTGCCTTGAACTTGCTCGGGCTTAAAGGTTAAAAGATCTTCAGATGTCACAGTCATGCCATCTCACCCTAGATGTAAAGTATATTTTTATGCATAGATGTGTTTAAAAAGCACCACGGTGATGATGACCAGCAGAGTTTGGTGAGCGTGATGAATGAAAGTTGAAAGATGAATCAACATGTATGATGAATGAACATACAAAAATAACAGTGCTACTTTGCTGCATGATGCCCGAGGGAGGCCTAAAATTGGAACCACATTAAAGATGATGATTTAAAATAAGTTGTGTTTAAATAAATGCATTTACATTCAATAGATAAATAACAAAATCTACACAGCAGTATGTGAGGAAACTGTTCAAGAGGCTAATATGTCTCTTAGGGCGACTGTGGCTCAGGTGGTAGAGCGGTTGTCCTCTGATCGTAAGGTTGGCGGTTTTGATCCCCGGCCCCTCTGCAGTTGAAGTGTCCTTGGGCAAGACACTGAACCTGAAGTTGCTCCCAATGGAAGATTAGCGCCTTGCATGGCAGCTCTGTCGCCATTGGTATATGAATGTGTGCATGAATGAGAAAACATTGTAAAGTGCTTTGAGTGCCGCTAAGGCAGAAAAGCGTTATATAAGTGCAGTTCATTTACCATTCTTACAGAGCTCTTGTTCAAGTTCAGCAGATATTTTCTATACATTATTTAGCTTTTGCTTACATAGAGTAAAAAGTAGAAATTAATAACAGTGCAATGAACAGAAATGAAGTATTGTCATAATATGTGCTGCCCCTCTCTCCCCAGCTTATGCCAACAACCACAGCAGTTAGCAGTTCCCTTCCTAAGAACCAAGTGTTCTTTTATCAGCATCAAGCAGAGCTTCCGCCAACCAACATCCTCCTTTCCCTGCCTTTGCTCTGTGTGTGTGCGTGCGTGTGTGTGTGCGTGCGTGTGTGTGTGTGTGTGTGTGTGTGCGTGTGTGCGCATATGTGTGTGTGTGTGTGTGTGTGTGTGCGCGTGTGTGCACGTATGTGTGTGTGTGTGTGTGTATTAGTAACCAGCCTTGGGCTTAATAACATTTATATAATACATTTACTGGCACACAAACACTTGTGCAGCCCCTTTTGTAATTAACAAAAAATTTAAATAAAATAAAAATGGAACAAAAACAACAAAAAAAACCATTTTTTATGACTGTGTTATGTAGTTTTTTTGTTATTCTACTTTCTAACATCACATGTATAATGTCTATACACAAACACAAAACTGAAATGCAATACTGGTATTGCAAAACGTTATCTTCATCTAAACATCTTGAGATAAGTGCAGGCCTTATTGAGACATTCAGAAGAATGATGCTGCATGTTAAGGTTCCTCATTTTATCTTTTTCAGGCTGTGATAATGTGTGACTATCACTCGAGACATTTTAAGGGACAACAAAGGAAAGATAATCTTTAAATCCCCATTTCTGTCTGCCGACATGATTCTCTGAGGTGGTCTGTGCACAAGAAAGATCATTTTGCAACCAATTCCTTCAAAACAAAATCACCGTACAAATTGAAATTTGCATCTTTACATGGACGGCAGTAGACTTAAGCCTTTGTGAAACTATTAACTTAAATGCTGTAGACGGATCAAACTCAAAGAGCTTTTCAACTGAGTGCCAGACAAACTATTTTAAATATACAAATTCCATGTTTCCTTTATTTTCAGTGTCACTTTTTTTTATTGTTTAAATGTTAACTGTGTAAAATGAGTCTTCATTTTTATATCTCAGATCAAGATGGCAACTAGCTAATAATTAATATAGGAAAAAAAGACATGCATCTGCCCTCTCTTTTTTTTCCTTTCCCAGAAGCTGACTCCAAAAATATTCCCTTTTTTGATACCACAACCCCAATGCACACACTCATTTTGTTTGGTAGTGAGGTGGTTTTTCCACTCCTGTCTGATACAGCTCTCTGGATGTTAAAACTAAACCAAAGATGCCACAATTCCTCCATTTTTAATGAACAAATTAAATGCCACGGAAACAGAATCACACACACGGAGGGGGTGGAGAAGAAGAATCAAACAAACATGTTTAGGCATTAATTTCAGATTGTATTTCACACAGCCCTGTCTAAAACTCAGTGGTCATTGAGCATTTAAGCCCAACTGAGTCAACTGTGGGCAGTTTCCAGCCAACATGTCTGGTCTGTTTTTGAAGTAGACTTGTTTGTAGCACTGAGGTGCACAATATGTAAACTCTGACAGCCCTGAGAGGTTCGGGCAAGCTGGAAAGCAGAGATGTCAAAGACTAATTGAAGCAAACAAACACAAACAGGGAATGTGGGCGTTGACCTGGGAACTGTGTCCAGATTCAAAACCACTGTGGTCGCAGTAATAACAGGGTGCTCTTTGGCATGCTGTGGCAGTGGTTGAGTCAGGGGCTGGGTGCTAGGAACTTGAGTTGGGAAGTCCCTTCTTTGATTCCTGGTAGACATTCACCTTTCTTGACTTTGTCAGCCACCTACTTTTTCCATCTTAGAACAATGACAGAGAAAACATTGTGATTTATGTCTCAGTGGGATGTGATATTGTAATGGGCCAGACAAAGGCTTCCACGTTCTCATGCTTTTTGAATATATATAGTGTTTCACTGAGAGTATTAACTGGAGGCCCTAAATGTACATGTATGTCGCAACAAAATCTAGCTTCAGTTTAGTATTCAGCTCAAACATTTACATGAATTATTCAAAACTTATTATCTTCACAACTTTTGATGATTTATACTCAAAGTGTTTTCTGAATAACTGCTTTAAGCTTATAAAAAAATACACAAGATAACGTGACGCTGCATGTTTTTTTCCTATATTATTGTTTTACAAATGTTGCCTGTTGGTGTTAAAAGAGTCAAAATGACATGAACAAGGATCAGCCTTTAGAGCTCTGCATCACATCTATTTATGTCGCTTGGTCTAATATACATATGGGCGCGTGTTTTCTGTTTAACAGTGTCAAAGCTAATTTACCCACATTTCGGGGACAGACGCGATTGCGACATCAGCTTTGCATTTCTGAGAAGTTTTGTGTAGCTGCTTGTTTTAATATACTGCTTGCATTTGTTGCACAACGCAGCCTTATTTTAGGTGTGAGCGATTATTAGAAAATGTGATCCCTTATACGCAGGGAGTTCTACAAACATGCATGTACTTATTTAACGCTCTGATATAGTTTCAAATATCTCGATGTACAGTGTGTTGTTTCCAGAGAAGCAGAATTAACAGAAGCATATTTCAGTACGTCCATCAAATGATTTGTTACCATCGACTAATGCTTTTAAAAATGAAATCCATCCACTATGTTTTACACAATGTACACAGTAGGGGATCTGTTACAGAGAATGAGAGGTGCTGAATATTTCATGCGATCCAGATTAGTTCCAAAATCACCATTGTCACCGAGAGATGGACTGCCACTGGAATCCATCAGAGTACAAGACAATAAACACGCATTAAAACAATAAATATACAGTATCTCTATAATCAGTAATTGTGCAAAAAGCTGTTGCACAATAGGCCTGTTCTGTGTAACACATAGCCTTTGTGGGTTCACTGTTCACAGTGTTTCAGATCAGGGCAGTGAGGGGATTTTTTTGTTAAGGATTTTAATGGTCACTTGCTATGTAAGACACGCTCCCCTCCATTCTCCCCCTGCTCCTCTCTCTCCCTTGGCGGTTGCTCTGCCAGATAGAGGAACAATGTAGTCTTTCTTACCTGTCGGAGGGTGTACATTCCATCTCTGCTAAACTAAGTCTCAATCCTGCCTCCAACCCACCCCTGCTTGAACAGGGCCCTCTCTGCAACTCCGGCTCTGACTCCAGGTACTCCACATCACACTCCTCATACCTTTCACTGGGGAGGATTTGAGAGGACATTGTTCATGTACGGTTTGGCCCGGACAGAGACAACCATTCGGCTAGTTTTCACTCACTTTTAGCTGTTTAATATGATCCTTTTATGTGTTTTGTCATTACACAATTAGAATCAAAACTGCTTACAGTGTTTTTTTGGATTTGTAAACATCTACCTACTTCACTGTGGACTGACAGAAAAATTGCCGTGGTGTATGCCAGACTGTTGGTTTGTGGTTTGTCATGTGGGCAAAAGGGAAATTTGGAGGTTGGGGTGCAAGTGTGCTATTAAGGATACAAGAGTGCAAAAAATTGTGGTGTGGGTGCTTTACAGGAAGATTGCGTTTGTCTGCACAGAGCCATCCCATTTATGCCGGTGGCTGTATGTGCTGCTGAACAGAGAGAGAGACACTCAGTTGAATGAGACATACAGCAAGAGGCCTCATGTGTTTTACTTCTTGTGATCTGTTAAAAGTAAGTAACAGCACGACAAGAGCACTCAGTATTTTTCTTGTTCTTACCTGCAGGATTGTGCTTCACATCTGAAGTGTGTTTTTTTTTTCTTTTCTTTTTTTTTTCCCTCATCACCTGTTGAAGACGCAGAGAATGTTGCTCAGGTATGTTCATTCATATCTTCTTTTTATTGATTTGTCATATCTCGCTGTTTTTTTCATTCCCAAGCTATTCTGAGATGTTCCCTCTTGAAACATTTATTGCATTATATTTAGGTAAATCTAACACTTTACATAAAGATTTTACACATCATCATGTAACACAATGAGAGTATAGAACAGTGTGATTTAAGTTGTAAAGAATACATTTAATAATGCTGATTTCAATACATGTGTTTCCCCAAATTATATTCTTATTTGAACTTTAAACTTGCTGGATTAATTTTAAAGAAGTTTACATTTAGTTCTTACTGTTGAATTCCTTACAGTAAATGAAACAGCCTTAAGAAAGTCACTGCCAGCTCAGTACTGGTTTTAACAGAACATAAAAGTTCTAAATCCATGTTTCAGAGCATTTATACAGTACAAAACAACTGCCATGTGGCGATGGCAAATAGCCTTTTACAGACAGGTTCTGCTGAAAAGATAAATAATAAACACACAGGATTTGTTTTAAAAGTAGGTAAGAGGACAGTAGATGTGTAATTCCTAGAAACAGATTTGGTTAAAGAGTATCCTAGTCATGGATAATTCCACTAACATGCAGAAAGAATGAGCAGGAAAAAGTGTCTTGTACTGACATACATCACATTTTCTAAATAGTTTTTGTGTTTTTAGTTTTTTTCTAGATCTAAATCTGTTTAGTTGATGCAGACCATTAAAGCCTCTTCAAAGGCTACACCCAAACTGTGATCTATAGCTCCTCAGTGTAAAACAAGCTGTTGTTTGTTACTCCAAACAGCAGCCTAATTTTTTTTTAGTTTTAAGTAATTCTAACTTCAAAGTTACAGTCAACCACACCCTGACACTGACTACAGGCTGTGTCATGAGTAGTATCTGTATTATGGCCAGTGGATGCCGCTTAATGGCATCACTTTATGCAGTTATTGGTGGTGAGAGTTCTGCTTTTTCAAAAATATGTATAGAACAACTGTGAGCATTCTTAGCCAAAATCAAAGCAGTTTTAAACCATCCACTACGATGTATTGGTCTGTGCTTGCTATTTATTTAAGATTTATTTATTTCCTTTAACAGGGACACACATATATAAAGAGAAGCAGTGCAGCACATGTTTGCTCCCTGGTTAGAATTTTTAATTCAGCTTTAAAAAGCCAATAAATTGCTACAACTGATTCGAGTAAAAAAATGAATTTAAAAAATACACATAAAAAATTATATGATGATTTATATGCATGTCGCAAAGTGTGTTTGTATGTGACAGAGTACATTTATGTACACAGATGTTTGTGACGAGTAGATGTGACCTGAGTGCGTTTAAATTAGATGGTGATATCCTCCGTATTGCACTGAAAGATTCTGTAAAATACAGGTAGAATATGGTAGGACCACAGTGCCGTCTCGTTTAAAGAGCCAAACAATTACTGCGGACATGTAAACTATACAGCAGCATTTCCAAAGCAGCCATCAGGCCCCAGTGTGTCTTTTAGGTTGCTGTTTTCCCGCAGATTGTCTTATCAGGGGTTGGCATAGCTGCACCCTGGTACAGCTGATGGGAGGAGTCATCACAACCAAACTGAACCCTTCATGAGCTCCAAAAGAACCTTCTCAACATCCAGTCATTTATTTAGTACTAGCAGGTCAACAGATATGTAATGTACTGGTAGAAATTTGTGTTTGAAGGCACGGTGTGACTTAACGGTTCGCATGAGTGAATGTGTGTTGTTGGTTTTTTTTCAGCTCTTATATAGCTCAGAAGCTGGTAGGTGAAACTAACATTTTGCTTTGTGTCTCCACCAGGTTGATTTATTGCAGCAAAAGCCTCTCCTGAATGTGTTCAACCGCCAACTATGTTCTCCCTCTGAGGAGAACCTGTGAGGTAGGTCCGTCTACGAGGTGGGAAACCTCAGTACAAAGTCAAGGCTGAAATAGAATCCTGTTTTTTTTTTTTTTTTAAATATAAGATCCAATCATTTGTTTTCCCAATACAAGGTAGCAGCTACGCCAGGCAGGCTGTGTGGGGGAGTGTCCATGCCAACTAATTTCCCTGGAGTCAGGCCTCATGGAGCTCCTCAGGACACAGAGATGGATGTGGCTTGGCAGGAGCTGATGGCCATCACAGAGTTGCAGGTAAATGTGGCACTGATACACTCGGAGCACTCTCAAGACTTTTATTGCGAAATGTTACTGCAGTTATCATAGATGAACATTTATGTAGAATTTCACAACACTGCATGCTTCATTGTCATGGAGGTGCTTGTTACACTTTTGTAATACATGTATGTGTATTCTTTAAAAATATAAAGACAAATCTGTGGAGACAGTTGTACACACAAGTTTGACATATTTGATTTCTGAAGCAAAAATAAGTTGATGCAATCGCTGAAGGAAAATGAACTTTTCTACAAATGCCTCTGCACTTGCTTCATATTTCATTAACTTAATTGAGCAGTGTGCAAAAGATTACTTCTAAAGTTTTACCTCATTAGACTTTAAGATTAGGATTCTTCAAATAGAAACACTGTATAAGCACAGGGATCTCTTTACAAGTCTGAAACTACAGTTATAAAGTGTGGGAGTTGAGACAACATGAAACTGCAGAGAATAAATGCAAAGCAAAACAAAACCGACTGCAAAGAAGCTGTTGGTTTAGCAAGAGTGGTGGTGCAGCGTTCCACTGCACAGTCTATATGGAAGAGTCATCAGGAAGGAAACCGTACCTGCAACCTCATCACAAAGGTCAATGTCTAAAGCAGTATTTGGGGAAAGCCAGAGTCACTCAGTGCGCACAAAGTTTAAATTGAGTTCTTTGGCCACAATCACCAAAAGTATGTAATGAAAAAGAGCAACATTTGTTTTAAAGAACATCATGGCAATTATTTGTGGGTGGAAATATTATGCTTTGGGGTTGTGTGGCAGTCAGCGGTGCAGGAAATATTGCACGGATGGAGGGAAGGATAAATTCCACAGAAGATCAGCAAATTGTGGGTGCAAATGTCAATAAGCCAGGCAAGAAAACGAAGCTCGATGCTTCAGTGGCTACAAAACGCATTTTGATGTATGTGTACTTTTTATGTTCGTGACAGGAATCAACTAAATGTGTGCGCTTAAACTTCGGCATTTATGGACTTTACCAACTGACTTTTAAGATGTAGGTTTGTTATTCTCAGTGTCAGGTGTGACATCACAACATAAAAGAAATGTAATTCATATGTGATCTAAAAAAAAAAACTTACTTTACAATTTTCATATGTTGTGTTACACTGAAAACTAACACACATTCAGGTAAGATGGGCAACAATGGTGTATTTGAGTGATGGCAGGATGAAGAGATTGTGAGAGGGGGCAATGCTGTATGTTGCTAGTGGCCCCCTGCACTGCACAATAGCCATCTGTTTCCAAATGAAACCTGATCACATCTTTGAGAGCCCTTCATAGGCTATGGGTGGCAGGCTGAAGTGGGGGCAAACTCTGTTCTACAGCAGACCAGTTGAATTGTGCAAAATGTAGTGTGTTCCACGAATCAACTGAGGTCTTGTAAATGTAATGATTGCCTGAAGTCATTTTTTTTAATGCTGACAAATACGTTTGTGCCCGTCCTGGGTGTTTTTGTTGCAGGAGTTTGAAGTCCCCAGTGAAGGTTCCTATGAAACAACACAGTACCAAACCATGGAGCCGATGGCCCCTGTGGGAGAGTACGGGATATCTCAGCCGCATCCCGAGCCGCCTCCTCCTCCTCCTCCTCCTGCTGCTGCTGCTTGTGAACTGAACGCTGCTGGCACTTATGATGGATGTTACTCTGAAGAGGTGGCCGCCTGTCATCGTCTAGGCAGCAACACAGAGGCGATGTACGGAAACTCTGAATCTCAGCTGGCTCAAAGAATGCTCCCCATCTCTCACGCTCAGCCCTCTCTCATGGCGCTTCGGGAACCGATGAACATGTCAGGTACCAGCCAAGGGCACAGGAGAGCCAACGCCTGTCTCTCTCAGGGTTTAAGTCGGCACATGCTGTGGACTACACATGGACAAAGCGCACATGCTCGCTCAGCTGATGATATGGAGTCGGACTCTGGTCTGTCTCTGGGTTCTAGCCCACCTTTGGCCTCCCCTGATAACCCTGTAGGTGGTGCACCAGGCTACCAGAGCGTAGACATAGGCATGACATATAGTGATGGTGAACCCGACAGCATGAACGAGCATGCCAGAAGAGCACACATCCATTACTCTATGGATTACCAGAGTCAATCTCACTCATATTTACATTCAGGTGCACAGCCATCTTATTTTTCACCACAACCCAGTTTATCTCATATACAACAAAGCAGTCTGACTCTTCGGTCAGTGAAACAACAGGGTCCTGCTGCTGCTGCTGCTGCTGCTTTGAGTGACCTGTACAATGATTCTGCAATGTCCAGCAGAGGGAGCTCACAGCATAACATGTATATAAAACCACAAACGAGCATCTCTACTCCTGCACCGCTGAGCAGAGATGAACGGCGGGCCATGGCTTTGAAGATCCCCTTCCCCATGGAAAAGATTATCAATCTACCTGTGGATGACTTCAATGAGCTTCTGACACAGTACACTCTGACAGATACTCAACTCGCGCTGGTCAGAGACATTAGACGGAGAGGGAAGAACAAGGTGGCAGCTCAGAACTGCAGGAAGAGGAAGCTGGAAAGCATAATACACCTTGAAAGAGAACTGAATCAGCTGCAGACCCAGAGAGAGCACCTGGCACAGGAAAGGCTTGAATTCCAGCGCAGCTTGGCTTTCATTAAATGTCGACTTACAGACCTCTACACAGAAGTATTTTCTCACTTACGAGACGAAGATGGACAACCGTACTCAATAGATGAATATTCTCTCCAACAGACACCTGATGGTAAAATATATTTGGTACCTCACAATGCAAAAGAGAGAGCAATGCTTAAGAATTGGGAATAGTGTCATTATTTATACTTCCTAATGTGTACTCCCTGACTGTGCCAACTGAGAATACTTTTAAGTAGCTGGAAGTCACATGTTTAGTTCATATGGTTATGTCTTATCCATGATGTTAAACTTGTCATTCGTGTATCAGTGGACACTTTAATGCTTTTTCAATTGACTGAAACTACACCAGAATGTTTTATAAAAAATACTTTATTAAAAAAAGTCTTTAAAAAAACAAAAAAATACACTGCACAGCAGTCATCCATCGAGTTAAAAAATTTAAAAAAAGCTTCAGCACCAGCATGATTGTTCCGCTAACCTGTCCAAGAAAGAAAAAGAGAACCAGGTTAAAATAAAGGCAAACTGAAAATGTGATAACGTGCAAAGGTTTTGATTTGTACCTGACTGAGCCATTGTCACTGAAATGAAGTCAGATGTTAGGGACCATGTGCCTAGAAAGCAGAAATAAGAGTAAGTAACAGCAGTTTTCCCCCCAAATAAGTAAAGAAGGTGTTCATTTTTGTTCACAGCATGCAATATGTTGGACCTCTATGCACAATAAGAGAGGTCAATTTAACCAGTCAACATTGGTGCATGTCACAAAACTTGTTTACGGTTACGTCATTACTGGGCTACACAACTTACTACCAGCTACATGACAAAAGCAACATATACTATCAGTAGTTGAGAAGTCTGGTCTTACCTACAGACAGCATTTAAGCCTTTTGGCAGATGCTAGCCTCAGGCCTCTGTTCTCACTCTCCCCTGCTTCAATGATCCTGGCGATGGTTTTGCTACTTCTCTCCCTCAGCTTGCTTCCATGGCTAGCCTTAAAGACTTTGCATGTAAGCTAGCATCCTCCAGTTGATCTTTGCAGAAATCAGGGTAGAGTCTGTACCAAGTGATGGGCTCTTTACGATGATACCCTTTGCGCACCACTTTTCTTTTTTTTTCTCTCAACCAGTATTGTAAATGTACCAACTCATGCATCATGGAGTATGTAGTGACCAGTGCGGGATTGCTCACGTCACAGGAAGAAATGAGCTTTTTCCAGACTCCTCACACAACGTAAAATTATGTCCCTGAACCCCACTTTGTGCAGCAGCTAACCGTGAACCCTCCCTTTCCCAAACCACTAAAGAGGCTAACAAGACTTTTTAAAAAAAACTGAAAGATGGTTTATTTCAGCTTGATTTGATGCAGTTACAAAGAAAAACCATACTTAAAAGATCTACATGAAACCTTATTGGAATGCTTGCTTTCCAGAAACACATTTGATTAAAAAAAAGAAAAGAAAAAAAAGAAATAAAACACAAAAACGTTTAAATGAAGGCCCTCCATGATTTATCTACTGTACATCTCTTCTTGCAGCAGCTGTAACCTGCCACAACTGTTTGGCTGAGCAGATTTAGGGAGGTAAACCTGCAGCTGCCCTGTCAATTCGCTTGCTCTCCTCTCCTTGCTCTCCTCTCCTAAGTACTCAGTCCTGTTGAACAATACGGAACAACATTGTTAACTACTGGCTTAGTACGACCTGACATCCAGAGTGAATTTGTTTAAAGGTAATCTGCACTTAATGATTCCCTGCAACGACAAACTGGTCTTACAATACAAAAACATTTCAGGCAAGTTCTTACCACGTCACATCTCAGAATCGTCCTTGACGGCCATAGCCACCACCATTGTTTGAGCCGCTTCCATAGCCACCTGGAAACAAAAATTATTTACCAACATGATACAAAAAGACCAGTATACATACTGGTCTTTTTGGTATAGTATGTGGTGACTTCACATGAGTATCCTTACCAAAGCTCCTGCCACCACCGCCGCCGCCACCAAAGTTGTTCTTCATTGGGCCAAAGTTAGAGGCCTGGGGATCGTAGTGGCCCATGTTGTAGTTATTTCCGCAGCTGCCTGCAGTTGGATGATTTGCCACATTATGTAAAGCTCATCTTGAGCACAGAATAACAAAGGTTCCAAGTGAGTCAAAACCCTTACCATAACCATTGCTGTCATAATGACCGTTTCCTCCATAACCGCCACCTCCTCCACCCTGGCTGTAACCTTGACTATATCCGCGGCTTCCATTGTTATATCCACCAGGACCACCTGGGCCTCCTCCATAGCCTGAAACATTGAAAATCTTTGAGTACGTTGCCAAGTGTCAAAAGTGAAAACACCCGAGCCCGACCAAATGGCCTACTTACCACCATCACCTCCGTTGCAATTGTAAGGACCATCTCCATACCTCCCCCTGCCACCTGCATGAGAAGCAAGCACTTAGGTAAGATCTCAGTCATCACATAACATTAGTTTATTGTAAGTGTAATAAACATGTAAATTCTTTAATCCAAAGAGTCATACCCTGATTGAAGCCTCTGTCGCAGTCATAGGGCCTTCCACCGCTGCTGTTACGATTTCCCCTCATTCCCATTCCTGCATTCTGCATCTCCTGTTTGGTGAGGGCCTTCCTCACTTCACAGTTGTGGCAGTTGATTGTGTGATATTTCTGAACTGTGGGATGGAGAAGAGTTTAGTGCTCTATGCAACAATCAGACAAAAAATTAGCTAAATCTGCAAAAGCCTGCATTGACAACAATCAATCTCTGTACTCACTGACAATCCTGTCGACTGAATCGTGGTCATCAAACGTGACAAAGGCAAATCCCCTTTTCTTTCCGGTGGTACGATCGGTCATGATGTCAATGACCTCGATTTTGCCAAACTGCTGAAAGTAATCCCGGAGGTGTGACTCCTCTGTATCTTCCTTAATGCCCCCAACAAAGATCTTTTTGACTGTTACATGGGCACCCGGTCGGTTTGAGTCCTGCGAAACACATTCAGGATTGTAATTACACTTGCACTTCTGAATGCAACTTACAGTTATCCAGGACAATATAGCGTAAGTAGGTTGACTCACCTCCCTAGAAACGGCTCGTTTAGGCTCTACCACTCTCCCATCAACCTTGTGAGGGCGGGAAGCCATAGCAGCATCGACTTCTTGTACTGATGAGTATGTCACAAAGCCGAAACCCCTGGACCTCTTGCTGTTGGGGTCCCTCATGACCTGAAGACAGAGGGTTCACTTGTTCTCAGCTTGACCACAGACTCTTACGTGCACGTTTTCAATGCACCATACAATGGGTAGATTTTTAGCAAAGGTGATGGTCTTCTAACTGAAACCTACTTACCACACAGTCTGTAAGGCTGCCCCATTGCTCAAAATGAGCCCGCAGGCTTTCGTCTGTGGTCTCGAAGCTCAAACCTCCGATGAAGAGCTTGCGAAGCTGCTCTGGCTCACGTGGGACCTACACAATGGACAAGACAGACTGTAGCATCTGGGCACGTTCACCAGCGTGCAAAAGCAACACTCGCACCTTTTCGGCAATTATATTCGAAATCAACATTGTAATCGCTCTGATCGTGTATTAACCCTGTCCTGCGCCACATATCAAAAATCGGGGCAGGGTGGAGGAGGGAGGCAACGCCGCCATTAACACTAGCGGAGCGGTCAAGCTGAGGGGGGATATTAACATTTTTAGCAGCAATTATACGCCGGCGTTAAATGTTAATGCGGCGTTATTGCCTTTCGTGTGTGACAAGCGATGACAAGCATTGAGGAAAATTCCTGAATTTCGTATACAGCCGATCGCTTGAACAAAAGGCCACGAGGCCCAGTTGCTGTAAAATGGCGGCTTGACAATACTGGAAAGCTGCTGCAGCTGCGACGAAAACGACGCCTGCATTTAATGAACCCATCGGTTTTTAAATGCACTTTTAAACATCTGTTAAGCATGAGACGATATACAACGCTTTGCGAATGCGTTACTCACATCCTTCGTCGACATCTTGCAGGTATATCCTTGAAGACTCCTCGTAAACCGGCCGAAGAAAGGTGATCTGCGTCAGACGAGCCTAGCCTGCTATTCAACAGTACAATAAATAGCAAAGGATACGCCCCTGCCACACGGTGATTGGCCAGTACTTCCCGCTGCAGTCTGTCGTCAGAGGTAGTTGGATCCTGATTGGCTAACATTCAATCAATCATTACGAAAGCCCAATCTCCTGCTGCCAGGCGTGTATTTGAGGACCGTAAAAAAAGACGTCGAGGAGGTTTGTGTAAAGGGAAATTTCTACGAAATTGTGTTTCGTACACGCTGTTGTTATGTTATTGAACATACGGTTGACACAGAGCAGTCAATAGTGAGGGTCATATAGGGGTAAGACCTATTAAAATTGCACTTTACAGCCCTAAATAATTCTGGGTTTTGAATTCTCGGTGGAGGCGGAGATGTGCCTCAGTGCAATATACCTCCTACTGCCAGAAAATACTCATCATACACACACGTTTTTACCAAAAAGCATTTCAGCAGGAAAACACAATGCACATGCAATGCAACAAATATGTCTCAAGCTTTACAAAACTGAGTTAAAATAATGCAAAAGCATGTTTGCCAGCAGAATATATAGGTCATCAGCTGACCGAGGGGCGGGTACATTTATTGTGCGCCTTTAACGCGCGCTTTTTGCGCACAGCACCTTTTTGTGATCCAAGCTAAATGCTAAAGTAGCTCAGACGTTGGCCTCACAGACTGCAGGTCCACAAAAGACGGGGGCTATCGCCACGGTTAACTGGTCGAAACCGACGGTTTAGGCATCCAAAGGGTGAGAAATCATGTGTACATCAATGTGCTTCAGGCTGCTGCAAGTATCGATTTGTTGGTCGATATCAGAGTTAGCTAGCTCGGTGAAGTGTTAGCTTGCAGGCTACCTAATTTAGCAAGTTTGCCTTTGACGCCCATTGGTTAGCGTGTAGCTAAGCACAGCATCATATCGTTATTTCTAAGTGTTTTTCTGGTCACGCTATATTATCTATAAGGGTTTCATCTAGTGGACGGCTTCTGCGAGATATTTAGTTGGCCTCTTGATTTTACATTTTTGGAAGGGTTTGTCGTGCCTGTTGCAGACTGAATAAAACGACAATGCTATGATGCCTGTCGTTGATATGCGATAGCCATCTTGCTAGTGTTGGCTCACGTTAAGAAAATCTGACCTGTAACTTGTGAATGCATTGTCGTTAACGTTGTTTGGGTTTCGTATATAACACATATTCGTGCCTGTGTGCATGTATATCAGCTTTAAGACCGGTATGGAGTAACGCTGTTTTCTTTAACGTTGCTTCTCTGTTGTTTCTTCTTGGACAGGGAAGAGCCAGTGGCCTGCAACAGCGTAGTTTTAAACAACAAACTTTGCTATGGGAAAAAAGTCTCGCGAAGAGGAATCCTCATCCTCTGATGAGGAAGAATATGTTGTGGAAAAGGTGCTGGACAGGAGAGTGGTGAAAGGCAGGGTTGAGTTCTTCCTTAAGTGGAAAGGATATTCAGAGTAAGTAACTGCCAGTCTGCTAACCAGTGATTTCAACTGATCATCACAACAGTCTTAAGATATATCATCCACACTGTGATGGGCAATAGATGTAATTAAATATTACTAACAACCAATGACTTTTGCGATTTGTTTTACATGTATTTTATGTAGTACCCAAGGGGGGAACCAAAAGAAAAATAAAAACAAAAATAAATGTGAACATCATCAGCTCTGTAAACTGGGTGCATGTTCATTCATATGTATAGATTATATGGCATACAGAACACAAAACATTTATATTTTCTGTTGTAACAACAAAGCTTTATGGTCATCCATATTTTTTCCTCTTTGTCATGTGTGTATGTATGTATACACACAGCTGATGACCTTCAGAGTGTGTTGATGCATGTTTCTATTCAGAAAGGAACTGTGGAAGCTCCCTGAGTTTCAGTCAATAATGTGGATATAATTGGCAAAAAATGTTCCTTTTTGAGTGACATACAGAAACTTTAAACATCACATGTATTATGTCATGCCTGACATCCTAGTATTCTCTTATTTGTCGTCAGTGCTGTTGTTGTTGTTGTTGTTTATTATTCAAGCATTATGGCTATACTCGTACTTACTTGCTGCACTGTGATCTTCCTCAGTAAGCACAACACATGGGAGCCAGAGAAGAATCTGGACTGCCCTGAGCTTATTTCAGAATTCATGAAGACCTACAAGAAAAGTGGTGGGAGCTCCACACCAAGCAGTGGGGCCAGCAAATCAAGCACAGGCTCCTTGGGACGCTCCAAAGACTCCAGTGGCTCCAAGAAGAGAAGCTCAGATGATGACGAGGAGGGTGGAAGTAAGCCCAAAAAGAAGAAGGAGGCAAGTAACCTGTTGATGCAGTAGATTTTTCTCATAAATTTGAAATGTGTTACGATGCAGTTATTAATTGGCACAGTGCTGAGTTTAAGCTTGACAGAATTGGAAACATAGCGTATTTAATTTATCTTAAAGTAAAAGCATTAGAAGTTTCACTGTAGGGGTTATAATTGATAGATTATAGGTTGACACTTTTCTGAAGCTTTGGGTTTTACACAGTGGGGAGCTCTTTATTTAAAATCCTACCATTAGTACATTAATTACAGGTGGGTGTTTCATCTTTAACCAAAAAGACAGAAACTGTTGCTTTCCTACATTTTAAAGGATACTCATTTTTTCACATTGTATGTTTTTCTTGGCATTCAGTAAACATTTATTGAATCTATGGAATTTTATTTATTTATTTATTTTAACACAGTTTACTTCGTTTAGGAAATTAAGTCTAAAACTTTAAAATTCATTATAAAAAGCTGTATACGTCTGTGCAATAGTTTTGTGTGTAAATGTGTTTTTAAACCAGATTGATTTTTGGAACAAGTGTAGATGCATTCTGTACATACATTTCTTTGCCAATACTTCTAAATACAATTTGTACAAAATCTAAAACTTGGTTGCAACATAACACAGATTTGTAAGTGAATGTTTTTGTTTGCTATCCTCCAGGATGACATCTTAGTTGCACGTGGCTTTGAGAGAGGACTTGAGCCAGAGAAGATCATTGGAGCGACTGACTCATGTGGAGACCTAATGTTTCTTATGAAGTGGTTGGTTTTATTTATAGATTTTTTTTAATATTTGCATGTGGAACTCATTGTCGGCTCACTGTTTTCATGCAGACGTTATCACTAAACAACACATACAGTAGTCCTTAAGAATCTGCTTTCACCAGTCCTTAAGATAACTATTTCATATTAAATCAAGTAGTACGCTGCTTTGATAACACAATTTGAACACAAGTAATATTACTTACACCAACATCTTCGTACTGGAACACAGTGTTGTGCATTTTTTTAAATTCCTGATAGGATCAAATGTTATAAACTCACTCTGAGCTGCCTGTGTCTTCATGGAGACAGGTATCTGCAGCATTGGAGTTAATGCATACATTTTTTATTGTATTGTACATTTTATTTTAAAATGGAGAGAGACATTTAAAGCATATAGCTTTTGTTTTTAGTATAACGCAACAAAGATATTTGAGTAGGCGTAATTGGGGGAAACTTTGATTGTTTTTTTTTTTCTGAACAACTTAATTCTGGTACTGAAGAATGACCTGACTCATAAATACTTTTTTAATTAAGGTACTTTATCATTCATATTTTTGGTGTGGCGTTGGTGTTCCTCTGGTTTCTGCATGTAAAACATTGGTACTGCGCTGTGGTGGCAGTCTTTTCTACTGCTACATCTAAGTCGTAATGGTATGATTGTTCGAAATGACAGCTCCCAATGTGTCATATTTCCTCTAGCAAATTACCCATTAGCAGCGCTAATAGCCTAGCTGTCCATTCATATACAAACAGCAAGCCACACCATTAAACTTTATGTAACTGCATATTATCTGGATGGATATATGTAGTACCTCACTGCTCATGCCCGGTGAAGCCTCATTCAAGAGTTTACATGAGGTAGTAGTTATACCATAGCTGTTTTTTATTACTATTATTTTTTTTTATTAACAGGGAAAATCTATAGGAATATAAAAAGAAAATACATGTAAACATCAGCATCAGATCCTAAGATTCACAAGCTCCATCTGCCTTTTTCTGCATATGAGAAGCACTGGCTATGATCTTTTTTTTTTATAGCATCATAACTGTATCATTTAAAAGAAGATGACAGCTCTCATTTTAAATCATTCTTACTTCTACTAATAAAAGTTATAGAAAATAATAAATGGGTGAGAAATCCACTTAAAGCAGACCTTTAATGTAGCACTGTGGTGATTAAACTGTATGTTAAAATATAAAAAACACATACAAACATGATTATTTTTGAATTATACTTTAAATATGACTAACTAGGAATGACACAAGTTCAATCAAGTCTTGGAGTTTACAGTAATCTATAGACAATTTTGTGAAGTATTTTTCCCAAGTTGTAAGCTAGCATTTTTATGCTAAGTATAGTCCTGACATGTTTACAGGTTGTTGGTCATCTTTGAGCAGGGAATCATTCCTAAGTGTGTGATTATATTGATCTTCTGCAGAGATGCACAGGCCTGAAAATGGATCTTTATCTCTTGCAGGAAAGATTCTGATGAGGCTGATCTCGTGCTTGCCAAGGAGGCGAATCACAAGTGCCCACAGATTGTCATAGCCTTCTATGAGGAACGTCTCACCTGGCATGAAGATAGTGACAAGAAGGAGAAGGACGCTGTCAGTGCGTGAGTGCATCACCTTAGGAGGAAACAGGACCTCCTCCACTGCAGGGACAACCTTGAGTCGGACATTTTTCACACCCAAAACTCCCATCCCTCACCTTTACCATGTCCAACAATGACGCAAAGACAGCGGACACGGCTGTGTTATCTCCATCCATGCCCCATTGGAGCACAAGGGCCCAGACTGCTGAGGAGGATCCATCAGACGTGAGGAGAAGCTGTAGTTGACATGGGTGATAATGCTACTGGGGAGAGTTTCTACTGTTCTATCTTTGTATTCTTTACCTTCTTTTTAATATCTTAACACATGTTTTAGTGCTTACAGGATACGGTTATGTTAGTATGGTATTCCCACTGAGATGGCCATCTGCTAAAACCCCAAACATAGTTTTGAAAACCAGAGCTGGTTCAATGTGCTGTGAACTTGTTCCGAGGTGAGTGCACAACTCCCATCCGAAGTTCGTTAGAAACGGTGCACCTCTTTTCTTTAAGAGCTCATTGAGGACGAGACCATAATTTTGATATTCAGGAAGCGACCACCACAGCAGCTTCCTGATTGCATAATCACTTCCCTTTTTAAAAAGAAAAAAAAAACTTTTTATCTCTTGTAGATTTTTCAGTTTGTCCCGTCTGCAGAGTTATACCTTCAGAATTTGAAACGTTGCAGAGGACAAAAGCCAAATATGTTTTCAACATGTAGTGACTCCCTTGCTCATTGTTTTAAGTAGTAGTTTTTATCTTTTGTTTTTTCTAAGTTTCAGTGTACGAATGTTGTGTGGTGTGTTTTGTTTGTTTGTTTGTTTGTTTGTTTTTATTTCTTCACACTATCACCAGTTCAAGGAAAGGACAAAAGACATTTTGCTCTGCTTGAGTCTTTTTTTTTTTTTTTTTTTAACTGCAGTGTTATTTTTGTACGAGTATCATTTTCACAGGTTAGACAATCTTCATTATATCCGCACGAAATGAAACCAGCATTCACACCAGTCATTAGGGTTCTGCCACCTTGTGGCGAAAAGACGTAAACCTTGACTCTGACCAATGTTAATGGAGACAGCCCTGCATTTTTAATTGTTGTTGATCTTGTTAGTTAGTAATACTTTGATATATATATATTTTTTAAAAAAACATTAAGCAGTAAAATCCGCTCACCAGAGTGTTCACTCTTGATATCAATATTCATTTTAAATATTAAAACCAGCTTATAATTGGATTATTACTCCTGCATTCTTTTGCGATGAGTAACTTGATTGTTCTCGGCTCTAAGATTTTCAATTTCTCTGGGACCTGGGAAGTATGAAGTCAGTTCTTATACAGAAGATGGACGGGGTTGAGCTGTTGTGCTCCAGCATGAACACTTAGGACCAAATGTTTGGTGTCTACCGACTAAGATCTGCTCTGTTTTTCAGACGTTTTTGGCTTTATTCGGCATTGTTAATGAAGCTGTGATCTTCTCACATTTCATATACATAGTACATAAATCATATCCCTTGAAATCACTTAGAGTATTGTTTTGGTGTCATTTTCTTTCATTCAAAATACTTTGTCCCCAATTTTTTGCCAGTGCAGGATTTTTAAAAAGTAGACTATTTCTTGTGTGAATGAAATGTTACAAATATGTGTACAGTAGCACCCTTTAATAAACATTTTCAATGTTAAAGTTGCTGTAAGGTGGCTTTTTTATTTTTGTTTGTGAAAGAGATATTCTAAATAACGATAATTAATTTTTGCGTGAGGCAGTTTTGAGGGGGGGGGCGTAAAATAACAGTAATTAGTACTAATTATTACTTGTTTTGGATGAAACAAGTAATAATTGACACTACTGCACGAGACAAGGAAAGAGACAACTGTCATAGACAAAGAATAAACACCAATAAGTATGACTCGACGATCTGTTTCATTATGGTCCATCAAAATGAGCCCATTTTCTATCTTTTCCTCAACAAAATGTCTCAAGAGCACCAGCTGCTCTCACCCAGCAGATGGTGCTGTTAAACAATGCTAATGTAAAAGTCATAACTGCTTTTATGCAAGTCATTCACAGTTGAAACACTTAACAGTTGCTCACGACTACAACTCATAAATTTGTGTTTATGGATTGTGATGCATCTTTTCTAGGGGCAGCGATGCATGTTGTGTTTAGCGACTAGCATCATGGTTGAACCCACTCATAAGTTCACCGACTCAGGTTGTGCAATAAAACACACAGAGTTCAAATTCACGCATATCTAACTTACAACTTAATATATCCTGTAGTTTACCAGCATATTTAGTATGTAAGGGTGAAGTCTGCCTGATAAAGCAGAGCACATGAAAAATATAGGAAATCACTTGCATTTGTTGCTTTGCTTTTGGCATTGGCTTTTAATTAGATAAAGGAACCAGGGTCATTATGGTTCATGCATGGTCAGTGCCTTAAGCCCGCAGGCCAATGAGGGAGCCCACTTTAACTTAATGTCATGATGCAGCCATTAAGGAAACTCAGTGGGTGTAAACACCACAGCTTGTATGACAAACGCAACAGAACAGAATATCTAACGTCGTAATATGTCAGGAAAAGGCTGTTTCCTCGACTAGAAAATGGCATGAAGGAGGTGCACTAGCCAATTTCCACTAAAACCAGATTCCAAAATGTGACGACGAAATACAATTTTTCTTAATCTGGTCATCAAGACAAAAGCAGGAAATTAGTTACGTATTAAATGATGACTTGTTTATGTAGAAAAGTGTCTCTGCAATGGAGACAGACTGCCAGATAAGTTCTAAACTGCAGTGAAGGTTGAGTCTTGTGCTTCCCTCGCCACCATCTTTTTCTTTCTTGCTGCCTTTTATAGCGGCACTCTTTGACACACACACACACACACACACACACGGTGCTGCTTGGCTACGTCTAAAGTGATGGAATTTTCCTTGCAAAAAGGCTTTTACACTCCAAATGGAATGCAAAGGTCACTAGTAAATATCCAGCCCCTGGGACCATTAAGCTGGGCAAAGGGAGCGAGCAGCAGGCTGTTTTATGGAGCCTGGAGCTGTCTGCTGACAAACCCAGGCCAGTAGGTTTGGTCGGGAAAGCCACTGTGGCACTCATGGGAGCTCTGCCACTGACATGTGTGGCAAATACAGATGTCGAAGCAGTTTTGGTGTGTGATCCACGGCACAACAGAGTGAAGCTTCATCGAAGCTGAAAATTTACAGGAGGAAATCCGATTTGGGCCTCGTGTTGAAAATGATCAGCCTCGTTCAGCAAAGAAGTGTTGGCTTTCTGGGGCATATTAATAGCAATGTTTGGTATTTTCAATAGACACCTATACATTTAACACAGCTTTTTAGCCATACGTGTCGTACAAAGTGTGTTCTTTGTGTTGCGTGTTGGTGTAAATTTATTTATTTATTCGCAAAAGCCTCTCCGCACTTCAAACATACTCCCCCCCTACTAGTAACTTCTAGTGCAAATGAGTTCCGCTGGGGAACGTCCACAGCAGAGGTGGGTCGTCTTGCAGCACAATACACCAAATGAGTTTCGAGGGAGCTACTGTGCAGCTGTGATGAGGGAAGGGACTGCTGCAGTGGGCATCATCAGAGTTACGGCTCGCTCAAGGATGCCACTAAAACAACAAACAAATGTGCACTCACACAGATAACACACACACACACACACACACACACACACAGGGTACAATGCACTACCACCTTGCATGCTGAAGAAAAAAAATTAGCCCAAGAGAAGCCGTGAAAAAGGTGCTGTAAGTCATGAGTATCACAGAGGCCAGTGTAATTTGATGTGGCCTTTCTTGTGCTGTGATCATGTAGGCACAGCTGCCCAACAGCTGTGTCTCCATTTCCTTGTTGCAGTCAGATAAAAATGTCTGCAGCGACGACTGGCTCATCATCTCTCAGCACAGTGCACTGATCTGTGTGAAGGTGATTGCGATGCGATGCTCTAATTTGGGCAGCTATCACACTTAATGTGCAGTAAAGCGCCACAGACAAAGCTCCTTCGTTCGGAATGCCCCCCTCTACTGCGCCACACAGCTCTCACCACCAACCTTCTGCTGGCTGTGTTTCCCCTTCACCACCACCACCACCACCGCCGCCACCACTGCCCCCCCACTCCTCCCTTCATCTCCTCTCCCCACCAGGGGAAAAGAGTTATAGCTGCCATAAAAGGCAGGTAATGCATTGTTAACTAATTCTGTCTGCTCAGAGCTGATATATCCTCTGCTCTAAATCTCTGTGCTTCCAATAAAATGCAAATGCTAATGCTTGCCCTCCATGAGCTGATATCATTTTTAACAGGCCAGAGGTAAATGCTAGAGAAGGGTGGGGTGGGCCAGCGGTAGTTTGTGACACGGTGGGGCTTTGAGCTTTCATGGTACATTCTGTCATAAAGGAGACCTCAAGACCTGCTCCACATACCACTGACCAACAGCATACATGCGTGTAAGTGTGCACATGTGGCTGCAGGTATGCGCATTCGGGTGCAACAGTACATTGTTCATAAGCCAGAGAAGTCGTAGTTAACCTCTGATTGTTTAAAACTAAGACTGGCATCTTTGTCATTAAGAAAACAGCACTAGAAGCTTTTCAGTCACTACTCATTCACCATCAAATAACAGAAGCCAATTTGCCTGTGGATGTAATGCATCATATTTCCATGTTAATAGTAGTGTCATACTTCGTGTAACCTTGGGCTTCTAAATATTGATCCACTTCTAGATTTTCAATTATCCTGTGCCGTTTTTCTGCCATCTGGTAAGGACCAGTGATTTGTGTTCCTTCATATCTGGAGGCTTGTCCTGTAATTAGACCATAAATTAATTTGCAGAGAAGAGAGCAAAAAAGATTGAAGGCATTAAGTAAGTCCTCGGTGGCTGGAGACAGAAAATCATAGGAAACCACAGCATAGTGTTTTATTCACTAGAATAAGATAATTGGATTACAAATTCCAACACCATAACTTTTTTCTTTTTTTTTTTTTGTTTAAGCATGTGTCACTTGTTTTTCTTTCAACTATTTAAAACCATGCTGCCGCTAACGATTGCTTGTAAGTCACTTCTTCAGTGAATGACTAGAAATCATCCACTGACATAATTATGTCTAATTGCTTGCAGTGCAACAGCAAAACGATTAGGAAAAATTGTGTACATTAGTGTCAGAATGTGTGTGAAACTTTGCGGTGAAATCTGCCGTGAATCCATCAGTGGTTTTTTTTTAAAATGGCCCCCCTACAAAGACAGACAACAATTGTGCGCTTCGAACCGAGCTCTTATTTACAGCACTGCTCAAGTGGAGCTCCTAAAAAGCCCAATGCATCTTTATTGATTTTAAATTGGGAGTATAAGCTCCCCTGCAAGATTAGCTCATTGTCCCCTGCTGCTAAATTACACATAGTGATTGGGGCTGTCGCTGCACAGTTTCGGAGCACTACAACAGCAGCTCTTTTTGCCATGTGGAAATTCACATTAGACAAGCCTAAGTTACTCGCTTAAAGCAATTAAGAGAAAAATGATGTAACAGAATGGGCCTCTCTTGCGGCGAAAAATGCTAAATCAGCAGGGTCTGAGTTTAAAACACTGTATACGGGCACGGTCTGATGTGAGTGAGGGTAATGTCACAGTGAGACTAGCACAGTAGTCTGTAGGTGGAAAACTGCGTTGGTGTACCTTCTCTACATGATACCTTGGGTGTTATTAAGCAAGGCCACAGCTGCCAGCATACTCTGATCATATCTTGTGGGGCTTGAGAGGCAAGGTCAGCCAACACGGAGCCCACCTGCTCCCCCCCGCCCCCCGTTCTCCATCACACAGTCCCTCAGCCCTGGCCTCCCGGAGGAAACACGCCTGACTGCCATGCCGGTACAGACAGCATGTGTCCCTGAATTTATGATGGCGACTTATTGGCGGCCTTTCACGTTAAAAGTCATCTTGAGTTTCCCAGTCTAGCTGTATGTGTGGTGAGCGTTAATCCAATAACATTCGGAGCAGACACGTACAGGGGCTGGCTCTCTGCCAGCTCTGAGCCCTGACAGTCTTTGACCCACCGCTGACCACAACATTCTCCTGCCTCTGCTCCCAGCCATAGCCAGCCTTGGCATAATACGGAGCCATAAACTATCTAACGTTACACTGCGTATGAATGTGAAGTATTACACGCTTTAAGGTACAATATGCAAGTGAGAAAAGTCCAGCTGCGACAGGCTCATTTTGTCAAAGTGGGAAAAAAATCACATCTGTCTACTGGGGAACTCTACACATCTTACATTTTAATCGAAGTCTGCCAAATGTGTCAAATGAACAAGTTTCAGGCCTTTCTATTTCTATCAAGGATTAGAGTTCAGAGAGGCCATTAAATCCCCGGGATTTTCTGTAGTGGTATTTATTTCAACAGGAGATATGAAGGTTCATATTAACTGATCCACAAGGAACAATTCTGGCAGAAGTTAAAATGCTGCGAATCTTGCCCGGGCCTCAGAGTGGAAAGCTTTCAACAACATGAGCTGCTCTGCTGCTGGAGGTGGCTCCTGAACTGATTATAATTTTAGTGGCTTATAAAGCCTTGATAAATACTTTATAAAGCCACGTTTCATAACAAATCTTACACATAAAAGAAGGCATAGATGTTACTCCACAAGGGATAAAGGGACTCTTGACAGGTTATTGA